CAATTTCAATTCCGAGTCACGCTTCCCAGCTAAAAAGAATTGACATCTAAAAAAAAAAAAAATCTGAATTTCATGCTTGAAGTGTCATATTAAGATGTGAAAAATTGACAAAAATGTCTACCTAAGCTATTATGTTCAAGTGTGAAACCTCTATAAAAGTTTCCAAAATAACTCTTTTTTTTATCTATTAAGGATACCATCTCACAAATATCTTTAGGACACAGCAACTATTCTTCGATTGCCATGGCAATACGCTAACAATAAAAATAAAAAAGGGAAATTGCTACATGTTTTGCAGAAATTTTTTTCCCTATATAAAGAGCAAAACATGGTTTCTACTTCTAGCAATTGAACTTCCAAGTATCTTGTACAGTGATGAGAAAAATAAAAAATGTTAAAGGCAGAATGTTTCTTCTGTGCTCCTATAGGGTTCTGAAAGAATGATGGTATCCTGATCTAAATTCCTATCTAAGAAATATCACATTTGAACCTTGTGTCCTAACTGTTTCTGACATGATAGATTGACAGGAGTTGTGAAATTAAGCAGATTTCAACTTTCCGACTTTGTACCGGCTCAAATCTTCAGAGTAGAGTATACCATTGGGGGAAAGAAGGCGTCCAAGGGCAACAAAGAATCGGCTCTGAAAGTTTAGAATTTGAGCAATCAAACCAATCTGAATACAATGGCATGAATATAAGCCTAGTGGGTGTTGGCCTTACCCATTGAAATCCCATCAGTGCATACCAGCAGCCGGGCAAACCATAACCTGTATTGCTTACAAGCTGGCAATGGGAAAAGATAATTATGGTGTCTGTATGGTGTGAAAAATCCATTTGCGTTATAAAATAGAAACAACGAGGCAAATAGTTCTCTACCAGTAATACAAGAGCACCCAGAGCAAGGCATCCGCTCATTGACAAACTCATGAATTTGAGATCCCGTCCAGCCTATAAAAAGGAAATGAAAATGCTGAAGCTAGAATATAAATGTGAACAAGTTAGCATGTACCACTCCATCATGAAGCACAAGACCAAAGACAAGTCCCAGAAACCAAGTTGTTTTCAAGATGAATGTCCAACCTTAAGTTAAAATCAAACATACCAGCAACGTCCCTTCAAGGCTGTGAGTGCTTGAATTCACAGATAATGCAAGAAAGTATGGTATTAGCACCTTGCGCATCTGTTTGGACATAAGAAAAAATGCTAGATTAAATACTTACAAATTTGCATTTCATTCATTATTCTTTTTGTTCAAGAAGTACCAGGAATATACAGTATCTATTTCCTATAGATGAAACCAAGGCCCTAAAAAGGTTTTCTACCATAAATATTTTACACTTTTAGTAGAAATGGAAAGTTCAGCTACGATTGGATTATATGACGGATGTGACAACGTCATCCAATGTCAACTATTTTAATTAATTGTCAAAATAATTATCATCAGTTAGAATGATCTTCTCCAATTCAAATTCTTTGAAATGGAGAACTAAAGCATTGAAATTTGATTTTCTATCTATTGAGTTAACACATGGACTAAAAATTCTAAAAGGTTTAAATCCCACTTTTATTAGATGAACAAACAGAACTGAAAAGCCTCCATGATGATTGCTACAGCTCACAAGAGGACAATGCAGGTCATGTAGATTCTTTTCTAGCCCATGGTGCAAAACACCCTAGATATTTACAACAATAAATATGGAAATAGGAAAACAGGAAATGATGATAAGATTGAGAAACAAGAACTAACCTCCTGTATAACACTCTGATCATGTGTAAAAATATTGGGAAACGAGATAGGAACTAATGTTCCTATACTTGCTAACAGCAGTCCAAGTGTAGAACCAATGATGATAAGGGACTTCAGCAGCATTCTAGCCTGTTGTTATCATAAACCATTCACCACTCCACGAACAACAAATTACACAGAGAAGTTTTATATGGCTTCCATATTCTCAATGAATCAACACCAATAACTTCTAGACTCACATGAATATAGCAGCATTTGATAAAATGTACAAGATGAGAAGGCGGGGCATCAATCAAAACTGTACACAACTAACCTTTGGCAAACTACGGTTAACTCCATATAACAACTCAGGCATAAATGATTGTGCAGTTTGAGAAAGAGGCTCACTCCAGACATTGCACATTGCAAATGTTTGAATCATGACCTAGAATGAACAGTAAGTTGCAAATATAACAATCGTTAGTTCCAACAAATAAAAGGCTAAAGCTGAGAAGAAAGTACTGAGACATAACATCTCTGAGTATATCTAACCTGATGAGCAGCAACAGTGTGTGTACCCATAGATGTAGCAAAATATACAAGGAGAGAGTAGAAAACAACCTAAAATATTAAACTGTATCAGATGCGAGGAAACAAACAGAAGGTGGCAGGTAAGGCTGTTAAATAGAATTAAACACAAACCTTTGACATCATTGTTACAAACACTGGAGCAGCAAGCGCAAGTACTGTAAGAAGTTCATTGAGTGATGGAACAGAGATAGCAAATGCATTATAACCTTTCTCATTCAGTGCTTGAATCATCATATAAGCTGCAACAACCTAGAATATGGTAGTCAGTAAAAAATGAAAAAAGAAAAACGAAAAGAGTATTCATTTATCAGTGAATATAAAGTACACATCAGAACATAGGATGTCAGAACACATGTTTTAGTACATTTTGAAAGGTTTATTTGGCACACCTGTGAAATCATAGTTGCCCATGCTGCACCTGCAATACCATAGCCTAAAAAGCTGCAGAGGACTATGTCACCCACACCATTTATGACACTGGAGGCAAGCAAAGCTTTCAATGGTCCCCACGAATCTCTCATTCCAAGGCTAGGAAACAGAAACAGAATGTCAACCCCAGTAAATTACTGCCAACCTGTCAGCTTTTTAAATATAGTTCATTGGGAACAACGTATTGAATCAATTCAACACCTGGCACTTTGAGCAATCCATCCAACAAGAATTGCTGGCCATGCTAAGCCTCGAATCTATCAAAAGAAAAGATTTTGCTTCAATTAAAATGCCATTAATTTAGGATAAATCAAGCACTTTGAGTAAACAGGTTAAGATTTACAAGTGACATAGGAAAGCAAAGCCAACAGACAGAATAAACGAACCGTTTTGAATTGGAAATGGAAAATGAAAGAATCATAAGAAAATCACAGACCTGAACATATGAGTTTGCTGCAGGTACAATATGTACATTTTTTGACCCAGTGAAAGCTGAAAAGAAGTAAGAATTTCATCAATCATTTGGTTACCTCTGTATTCTTTCTCCATTACTGAATTCCTATAATATATGATGCAATGAAAACCATATTCACTGACCCACAAAAGCAATAAAGACTCCATTTATCCATAAGATTAACAAAAGCTTTACAAGTCTTTAATTACCAGTTAATGCCCATGCACCAAAGAATCTTGTAAATAAAAGCATCAAGAAGCCACAAGTCAACCCAATAAAAAGCAAGATCGATATTTGATGCTGCACGTCATTTTTATCCTGCACCAACACCATTCCATCAAAGCATGCACACTTATACATTATGCAGAGTGCTAACTGCAAAGCAAGGTAATCAAGATATAACATGCTCTCATAAATGCAAGTCTATGTGCACACTTCCACCTGTTCATTGCAACACCTAATTACCAGTTAAACAATGGGCTTTAAATAAAAACCAATGCTGTAGAAAAATTACAACCTTTATTACAGAAATGATCTAAAACACAAGCAGTATAGAAAACTAACCCGTCGAGCTAGAGAAGTGGCAACCATGTTTGAAGTAGCAATGGAAAGGAACATGAAAATATAACTCATATAATCGCAAACAACCGTTGCAGGACCTGCCCATCAAAATCCGTGACCCAATTAATCACTTGCAACTTTCTCCCTAACAAATGAAATTTATTGTCAACCAAAAACTGCAACGCATTCATCCACTAGTTTAGTGGAAGTAACTTTTGTCTACTATTTTGAAGACATTACCTAAAGCAGCAAGCTCAACTGAGCTTCCCTGACCAATAACCGCAGTATCAATGAGACTCATCAGTGGCCCGCAAATCCAAAGCCCTGCAGCAGGTCCAGTGAACATCATAATCTCTTTCACTTGATTCCATATACTCAGGTTTGCAAGTCCCTCTCGCTTAACCTCCACAACTACCTCCTCCTCCACCTCATTCTCCTCTTCTCCGGACGATGTCACCGAAGCATCACCGTCATCTACGACGATTTCTTGACCTGGGTGAATACAATTACTCACCAACCTGTTCCAGTGATTTCCTGATATGAAATTGCACGAACTCGAAGCCAAATTGAATCTGCGAAGTCGAGGGGTTGGTGAAGAGAAAGGTAATCTGTAGGTAGAGGGAATGGGAGATTGAGAAAACTTGAAATTAGGGTTCTGAAATGGAGAAAGAGGAGGGCGTGTTAGGGTTTTGATATACATCTTCATGGTTTTGAGGAGGAATTGAAGAATGTTTGCAGGAAAAGAGGAGCGAAAATGGAGTACTGTTTCTTTGGCGGCTACCGGTAACGTCTAAAAACGGCCAACTGTGGAGGCCGTGTTTCAGCCATTCACTGTCTACCTTCTGGTTCCCATTTATGAAAAAAAAAAACATGAAAAATAAATATTGACTACATAAAAATACAAATAAAAAGCTATTGTATAAATAATAAGGGTGTGAAAAAAAAAGACATTGTGGTATTAAAAATATTAATATGTTTAATTATAATTATAATAATAATATAAAACCTGCAAAACATTAAATAGGTCTAATCTAAGTTTCACTTATTATAACTATGTGATTGAAATTTGATTTATTGATATTTAAATTGTGAAAATATTTTAATTTTAATTTTTGGGATAAGCAATTTTAATGTGTTTTTAGTAAAGTTTATTATCTTACATTTCCACCTGCATGGACCATAAAATCCAACTACTTCAATGAGATTTATTACTGACTCTAAAAGAACTCTATTATTAACGAGACTAATGATCATGTATTGATGTCTGCAAAACACTTTTTGGTATCTGGAAAGTTTTTTTTTTTGGTAAAATGTGAATTTATTTCCAAAATCTATACAAAGCAGCTCTTTTTAAGGCTGCTACTAATGTTAGTACAAAAAAATGAAATAATTTCTAAACTAAAGTATGTTTAAACCTTAGCTGTACATAAAGTTTTTAATCTCCATTGAGCTGCAATTTTCCTTGACATAGGAGAAGACCTTTTCTTTACAGACCCCAATACTTTGTCTCGGATATCCATTTGAATCATATCAATTATTGCAGAAGGAGATCTGTATAGCTGTCTATGTATCCTGCTGTTTCTTTCAATCCGTATATGATATATTGATGCACACCAAGCTAATTTAAGAAGAGAGCTATACAATGCCTTGTGTTTAACTCTCTTACATAACCAATCCAAAGCATCTTGCCAAATGCAGTTTTATGGGATTTCCAGCATAGAAGAAATCTTTTCCCAAATATGAGTAGTGTAGGGACAGGAGAAGAAGAGATGGTTCCTAGTTTCACTTGCATTCCCACATAGCACACAAGTGTCATCAATGGAAGAAGACCAATTCTTCTGCTATTTGTTATAATAACTTCTTATTTTGTGTTATTTAGGAACAACTATTTGTTGGTTTTAATGAAAAAAAGTTTGGAGTTTGAGTTTTATGAATAAAGAAATATGTGTTGAAGAACTTTTCTTTTAATAAAATTCAACGTGATTCAATTTTGAATTAATTAAAACACAATATAGTTACGAAATAACAAAAAATTAGTAAAAAAAAAGTGTTAACTAGAAAAGGTATTGTATTTGTAGTTGTCTACAACTTTCAGCAATTTAAAAGGATTTATCAAATACAAAAATACGTTAGGGGAGCCACCGTAGGGTTTAAGCAGGATCCAAAATAATTTATTTTCATATGTAAGAAGGACAATTTTGCTATGGTTAAAGCATTAATAATATAATTACAATATCATATAAAATTGTAAGTTGATAATTATAATATATTATTAAATGAGTTAAACCGTTAATATTGAAGATTG